GTAAACGCAGTCCAATCCCCCCCCCCCCACATACCACGAATACCTCTCTGACTCCGGCTGTGTCTCACGCTTGTGTCCCGCTGGCCGTCCTCAGGTCAGAGTCAGTCTGCAGCCCAGCAGCATGAAAGTGTGCGTGCTGGGAGCCGAGGAGACGACGCTGATGGAGGGAGAGTTCACTCACAAGATCAACACCGAAAACTCTCTGTGGAGTCTGGAGCCTGGAAGCTGCGTGGTCGTGAGTACACTCGTCTTTTATTCTGTCCGTGTGAGCAACTTTTAAACGACTTCCAATCTAACTCGCCGCGTTCGTCTTCCAGCTGTCGCTCAGCAAGACCTCGGAGGTTTGGTGGAACGCGGTGCTGAAGGGAGAGAAGGAGATTGACATAAACCAGATCAACCGCGAGCGCTCCATGGCGACGGTGGACGAGGAGGAGCACGCCGTCCTGGACAGACTGACCTTCGACTACCACCAGAAGCTGCAGGGAAAACCACAGAGTCACGAAATGGTGAGGAACCGACTCCACAAACATAACAGACGAATACATGACACTTAAACCACCAGGTTACTCAGAAACCACCTGAACTGGAGCCTGTAAATCCACATATACACACAGCAGCCCTCGTAAGAAACATACTTAATTTATACTTATTAAAGAACGTAAAGTCTTGGTGTAATAATGATATAACTACACCTTCACACTCTTTTAGCTCTAACTCTGTATCAGAGACTTCAGGGGACGTGACCTCGACACTGACCGGAGTCTATTTTTGACGGAAGCGCGCTCCCCTCTCCTCGTCAAAGGCCGACCCAAGGAGTAAATCACCATTTGCAGAGAAGTCAGACACCAGAACCGCCATGGAGAATTTTCCAAATAAAATACCGCCTGCAGACTCCTGATCGTATTTCACGCTACATTCAACATTGTGGCGGCAGACCAGAAGTCGGTCAGTCTGAGGAAGGTTAGAGGATCTGAAACAGAGGAACACACTGTTCTGTTTCCTTTTTTAAGTAAACAAAGTCGGGCAGACAACAAGCCCTGAAAAAGCTCCTGAAATTAAATACAATAAAATAAAATAAAATGTCCCAAACCTGCAACTCTAGGCTTTTTGGCATCATCAAGGTAACATGATATAATATATAAAAATAGACTTTATTCATACTGAATTATAAAAAACAACAAAAAAAATTACATTACATTGAAAATTTTAAGTAACCGAAAAAAACAAAAACATTATTAATTGAGCAGCTTTTAGTAATAATTTAAGTCACTGACTTAATTTTCTTATTTTTATTTGTCCTGTAAAAACAAAATAGAGTAAAAAGTACAAAACTAAGTTATTGTCATTTAAAATTTCTAGTAAAAGCTCCTTCATCAAGAATGTTTTTAACTTAACAAGCTTGGACGTCTGAGCTGTATTCAGTTGGTTGTAATCTGCACCTTCACCACTAGATGTCACTAAATCCTCCACACTGAGATGTTTTTATTACAGCAGTGACATTCAGACGTGAGACCAACTATCAGTCTGTCTGTATTTGCTCTGGTGGTCAGTGGCAGCAGGCTGACTCTCCTCTAGATGGCACTGTGGTGTTTATTAGCCTGACTGCTGCAGAGGTCACATCTTCCCTGTGTTTGTCTCCACAGAAGGTGCACGACATGCTGAAGAAGGGCTGGGACGCCGAGGGCTCACCGTTCAGAGGGCAGCAGTTCGACCCCTCCATGTTCGACATCCCACCCAGCGCGGTGCAGTTCTGAGGCAGCAGCCAGAACTCAGCCAAAGAACTGAACCCAGTTTATTCACAGAACTGTCGGCAGGAAGGTTTTCCCTGCCGGTCTGTTGTGTTTGGAGCTTTTGTGACGAGGACATCGTGTCACTATATCGAGCATTTATTTGATGTTTTGGCAGATTGAAATCTGATAAATATGTGTACTTTGTTAACTGTTTTGCTCTTTATTTAATAACTCTGCAGTGCCTATAGGTTTGTCTGCCCGACAGAGGGATTCTGTTATTGTTTCTCATATTTGTGTTCATTACAAATGTCCCCGCAAAAAACTGTTTGGCAGAAACTGCATTTTACCAAATTTTTTATCCAAATGTAGCATAAATTTCCAGAAAATCTGCAAAAGAAAATGAGGATTAAAGTGCGTTTGTGTCCATTATGTGAACATTAGGAGTAAACAGCTGCACCGGGTTGCACCAGCGATGTGTAAGTTCTCTCCTCAGCTTGCTTCATTTGAAATGTTACTGATGGCCTGTTGTCAAATGAATATTACGGTGGGAGGAAGACCGAAGTAAAGTGTGGTCAAATTTCTGGAGACGCAGCAGAAACGACCCATAAACACTGACCACTTAATCACTGACCCCTGCATCAATAAAAAGTAATAAAACTGCAGTTAAATGTGTTGATTTTAAACATACAGGTACATTTTTTTGCTGTTAGTAAGTTATGTCCTGTGTTATTAAAAAAACTGTTGGAAAGATCCTGGAAAAATTAGTAATCTAGGGGAGCATGTGTAACTGTTTAGTTATGTTGTAATTTATCTTTTTGGTTCATTAACTGCTATTATTTCATTAATGCATAAATCACAGCCCCCACTAGGGGTCGCCAAAGCTTCATTGGGGTCATGAGGCCTTTTTAATTTCATGGGGTGTAATAAAACTTAAAGAATATACAGTAGGCCTTTATCTAAAGCAAAATTTATTATTATTTAAGATCTGAACTATATTCACAGAGCTTCACTCTCTGATTAACAGCCTCGTCCTGTGTTAGAAAACAACCAAAGAGCTGATTAAACAATGAGAAGAAAACACTACATTTGTCAAAAAAGAAACCTATCAAGTCCGTGTGATTGTTAGAAATTAAAAAATACAGAATACAGACAGAAAATTGTATAAAAATATCAGGAAAACTCATCTCTGATTAATACTAACAGGAAATAATCTGCTCAGAATTCATCCAAATCTCTGGTTTTACACAAACTTCCTGCAGTTACTGAGTTCACTGTTTGTGTTTATTGTTTATCAGCTGTTCCCTGCTGTTATTATTAAGTAAAAAGTGGGTTATAACTAGAGTTTGAACTTACACACAGTTGGTGCAACCGTCTGCTGGTCAGTTAGTAAACCTGGAAGCTAAAAAACTTTAATTCAAGTGAGAAGACGCCATCTTTGAGTTCTTATAATACATCCGTGTCTCAAACGGTGGAAAACATGATGGAAATATTACATTTTCTGTTTATTTCGAGTATTAATGTAAGAAAGTTACACAGATCTGATGTTCTCAGTTCTCACAAACCTCAAACTTTTCTTGTTTTCTGGTTGCAGATTCAGACATTTATTTGTCTTTTCTCATAATAAAAACAGCAGATGGACAAATATAACGTTTAACGGGTTCAGCTGCCTCACAAACAAATCACTGAAAGTATTTTCAACAGGATCAAATTGTTTTATTCCAGCATTCAGCAGTTCTGTTGGTCCAACTTCATTTAATCTGGTTGATTTAATTAATTTTACATTTGTATAATGACACCAGTAAATTAAGTTTATCCAATGCCAAAAAAATAAAATATGTTTCATAATTTAATTAAATTCAAAGAACAACTTGTGTGTATCAAAAAGTACAAAAAACATTAAAAATGATTTGTTCTTGTTGGACCAACATGAATTTTATCTGAATTTACTTTGAATTATGTCCAACAAACATGATCCAAACATTTAATTTACATAAACTCATTTAATTCATCTAATATTAACAAAATTCTAGTTTGTTAATCAAACACATTCCCTGGTTTGTTTATTTGTGAAGACTTAAATAATTAAATATGGCCTCTTGATAATCATTTTAATACATATTTTATTATTTTCTTCCCTTCACTTCATTGAGACGAGTGTTTACTGGGAGAAATTATACATCAGTTTAATTCATTAATACTTAAAGTGTTTTTGAGCCTCTCAAAGCGCCTTACACCCACATTGCCACGTTCACCTTAAACTGTTAATTAAACTGTTTAAATTTATACTTTAAGCATGAAAGAATATACAAATAACTCGTGTTTATTGTTCTATAGTCTTTATTATATTATATTATATAATATTTTTGTGTATTATATTATGTTACATTTTAATGTATTATATCATATTATATTATATTATATTATATTATATTATCCAACTTTCAGAACTGAGCATTAAACTCCTCAGTGTGACTCTCCCTCCTCTCTTTCCATCTTTATGTTTCCTCTCTCACCTTCAGCCCATCATCAGCTCTTTCTTTCCATCCAGAGAGTGGAAAGATGGCTGACTGTGGATCAGGAGGTATAAGAGTGCCGAGCGGCTCTGTCCAAATGGATGCAGAAGAAAGCATGACAGCGTTGTTTTAACTGGAACTAAGTGAGGAGAGGAAGAGACACATTTCCCTTTCAGTCTGTCTCAAACTTAGTTTTCAAAGTAGCAGAGAAGCAATTTATGTATTAATGAAGTCAGTGATCGGGGTCCATGAACGGAACAGAAACGTAATGAGAGCAGAGTGCTGCTGTCAGATATTATAACTGTTCTTTAGTCTTTATCAGAATCTGAACACTTTATTGATCCCCAGGGGAGGCGGGGGGGTTGGGTTGGGTTACAGCTGCTCTAGTTGTTAAGCAAAGAGAAGTTATGAGAAAGAAATAAGAGAAGAATTAGAAATAAATATATATAAAATAAAATAAAATAAATATTATGTTAAAATATGTTCATTATGCTACTATTTATAACAACAATATACAAGTTTGGCCTCCTGTTGACACATTTTTATGATTTCCTTTATTAAAAAAGATGTAAACAGGAACATAAAACTCAATATTTGTGCATTTTTTCTTTTAATTTCATAAACTGAACATAAATAATAACATCATTGTGGTCTGTGCAAAGGTTTGGGAAAAATTAAGAGTTCTGCAGTCTCAGACCTTCATCGGCTTGTTAGCCCCGAGGCAGGTGAACAGTTCTCGTTATATAACATCAGCTGGAGCCAATTTCAACCCTTTACAGACTCTCTGACTCCTCAAACCTTTGAGTGAACACTCAGCAACCACAGGTTTCCTCTGAGCAGCTGTGTGAGACGCTGAAAGTGAAGGTTATTGACGTCCACAGCAGAGGAGAAGACTACAAGAAGAGCGCTGTCAGCCGGCACTTTCCACAGTGGGAAATGTAATTAACAGACGGCAGTTCAAGGAGAAACTGTGGAGGTCGAGATGAGACCTGTGAATGTGAACAGAAGTGTTGGTGCATCGATCCACCAACAACAAAACCTTCATGGTAGAATGAGTAGAAGAAAACCTTCCCTGTGTCCACATCACAAACTCCAACGTCTGCCGTCACGTTTGTGCCGGGACATCAGATCGTTGGAAACTGTGTGTGCTGATAAATAAAAACACTGACAGTATAAATAAAGCTCACTGTACATTAAAGAGGTCATTCACCCTAAAATGTTGTTTTTAAAGGCTGTGAACTGAATTATATGAACTGAACTGTAATTAAACATGTAAAAGTTATAAAAAGTCTCCAGTGGAGAGTCGGACAGCAGCCGCTCTGTTAGCTCTGACTACCAGCTCACTGTTCCTGCTACGCTGCTGTGGTCAAGTCTGTATCGAGGCCACGCCCCCTAAAGGCTCTGTCCTCTGCAGGTCTCTGATGCACTTTTGCAGAACTGAAGGGTGATGTCTCGAAAGTCAATTAACAGACAATAAAAATGGATCAAGATGAGAAAAATAAATAGTTAAAAACAAAAACTAACAACAAAACAGACTCACCTTGCTGCTGCTGTGATTAATTATGATTTAAAGTTTCTACACCTCAAATTGTGAAAATATGACCTTATGGAGTTATGATTATTAGTGGTGTAAAGTGTCGGTTCTGGTTCTGGTACTGAACCTGGATCTGGACCTGGACCTGTTAATTGGGGCTTCTGACAGGTTGATGCTTAAATGAAACTATAATCTTTTATTTGTTAAAAAGGGAACATTTGGATTCACTTCCTCCTGAAAAATATTCCTATAAATACACTGTAATCAGATTACCGTCTGATTATTTAAAGAGTAATCTGTCCAATCAGCTCTCTCTCTCTCTTCTGATTTCACTTTTTCTTTATTTCCTTTCCTTTTTTTTAATCCCCCACCCGGAGGAACACGTCATGTAGTGAGCTCACATTTCCAGTTAGTGGGTATTTAAAGAGTCCTTCCTCTGCAACCGGCTGCCAGACCGGAGAGCCCACCACCGTACCGAGCCGGGACCCCTCCGTCCCCCTGTGGGTGTGTGTGTGTGTGTGTGTGTGTGTGTGCAGCTGAACCCGTCCGGAACTCTGAGGTGGGCGGAGACTGAGCCCAGAAGGTCCTCCCGTCCGCAGCGACGCACCGCGCATTTCGGAGTCCCGCACCCGTCCGAGGAGGAAACATCATGGCAACGACTACTTGCACACGTTTTACGGATGAATACCAGCTGTACGAGGAGCTTGGCAAGTAAGCCGCTGTTGCATAATATTTTCTGAGTCTTCCCTCGCCTTGCCTTGCCTTGCATGCACCCCCCCTGTCCTCAGAGCCATGAGGAGGAAGGATGGAGGTCTGCAACATCTGCGGGGATGGATGCAGCTCCAGCGCCTCCAAAACAAAACGCACGCTGCTCCTGCATCTAAAATTAGCTTCTGCAAAATCATTAAAACCCTCTGCAGCATCAGACCTCTTTATTAAAAATGCAGGAGAGTTTAGATTTTTTTTTTTTGCATGGAGCACTTCTGGGCACTCCTCCTCCTCCTCCTCCTCTTCCTCTTCCAACTCTCTCTCTCTCTGCCCCCCAAAAGGCTAATTAGGGACAAACAGGCCTAATATGAGCTGATGTGTCGGAATTAAGCTGGCTTTTAATCACAGTGGCACACAGCTTAGTGGAGAAAGTCAGAGAATAATGCTGCTGCTTCATCCACCGCTCCTCTAATGAGGTGTGTCTTGTGATTAACTAACACAGAAATAGAGAGATGTGTTGTGGAGGAAGAGGAGGTGGAGGAGGGTTGATGTGTGGCCCCTAATAGGACGCAGACACATTGAGAGTGAAGAGGTTCTGGGAGCCACAGTGGGTTGATGCACAGTGGACTCAGTGTCTCTGTCAGGTTGTGCGTGGGTAGAGAGGATCCTCTCTCTCTCTCTCTCTCTCTGCAATGTTTGCCTCACAGGAACATTTATTCCAGCTCTGGAGGAGTTTCAGGGCTGTGGATGCTGATTTTATACAGACTGCTTTTTATTTATTATCTGTGGTGGCTGGGATCTCCAGTGTGTGTTTGTGTGTGTGTGTGTGTGTGTGGGCTGTGATAAGTTAAAGACAATGGAGATGCAGGAGTAGCAGCAGCTGCCCTCGCTGATAACACAGCTTTTATTGCTGTTTCTGCTGCTGTTTGTGTGTGTTTGAAGATGTATCTGGAGGATTTTGTGAGTGTGTGTTTGGGCTTCACTTAAAGTTTAGTTGATTAATCGATCGGTTAATTAATCAGCAGCTATTTTTAAAGCAGACGTATTAATGGGGTGGTGGAAATAGATGCTGATTATCAATATTTGCTTCGGGAAACCCCCCCAAATGAATATATTTGATCACATTATTAAAGCATTGAATAGAAATACCTAAAGGTTGCATTAGAAATCAATACATTGTTTTAATTTCAAGACATTTTTCCAAATATACGTCTTTTTTTCATTGAACTTAAACCTATAACTTAGTCTACAATGTGTCTATACAGATCATTAAACTAATTTATGTTGTTTAACACGTTATTTTGAAAATTAATCAAAATGAATGTTGCTGCTTCTTTGTTATCATTTTCCAGAGGATAAAAATGTATTATATGGATCAATTTGAGGGTTTCTTTTACTTTAAAGGTCCAATCGTTTTTTATTGAATCCATCTAAGCAACAAAAGCATGAATGATTTTAATTAACCTAAAGATTGACGGAGAATTAGTCGAAACATTTTAATATTCAGTTGGTTTGTTTTTGATCATCAAATTGGAAACCAAAAGTAACTTAAAATCTAACTCAGTTAGACATTGAGGAGGATCTATTGTCAGAAATGTAATATTAATAAGGTATGTTTTCATTAGTGTTTAATCACCTGAAGAAGAATAATTGTGTTTTTGTTGTTTAAGAATGAGACGTTTTTATCTACAGAGGGAGCCATGTTGAACCTCCATGTTGAATCCAGAATCCTGACAGCTAAATCCTTCACTTTGACTTTGATTATCTTAACTCAAAGTTCACTTATTAGCCTTTTTCTTAAGCTTTACACGCAGCCCTCGTGTAAAGCTCAAGAAAAAACTAGCAAGTGGCCTTTGAGTTAAGAATATTGTTACAGTGTTAAGATTAACTTTCACTTTCACTTCTAATACCAACGTTTTTCCAGATACAATATATATTAAATATTATTCTTGATCATTTTTGGCTGATAATAATAAACAAAGGGAGAATATAAAAGGATTAAATTTGAGGTTTATTACACTCCCACCTGCCTTGCAGATTTACCCGTCATTCCCTACCTCGGTGTCAGCGAGTGTCATGCTTACTCACCCCGTCTCCTCTTAATGTATGCGTGTTGGAGGGCTTGTGAGGGAGGCCGGGGCTCTGAGGGGAGCGTGAGTGTGTTTCATTGCGTAACAATACTGAGGTGAGATAAAATTAGCTCTGAGAAATGACAGTGGTGGTTATTTCTGTTTGTCTCTGTTGGGTTTGATGAGCAAATGTGGCCCTTTTAAAACTGCAGCAACACACAGACTTACTGTACTCATCCTGGAAACGCTGCTTATCTGCTTCTGGTTCATCACGGAAATTATATTTAGATTGTGGAGAAAATGAGCGCTTAGATTTCATGTTGTCATATATGTGACCACGGTACAGTGTGACCACAGGGGGCGCTGTTGGGTGGATGTTAAAGTCCAGGTGAAATGAAAAATGTAATTTTGACACGTTAAGATCACGTCCTCAGTTACATTGTTCCCATATTTAACAATTTATGACAAAACATGTCGCAGGAGTCCGACCGGCAATAAAAAACCCTCTGTACTTTGATTCCCTGTCGATGCATTCAGTCTCCCTAAACAAGCTGACTCTGATGTTGTGTTCATGGTGGACTTTTATAAGTGGTTGCTGCTATGTAAACATCCAATTCAGTGTTTGGAGAAGGTGAGAGAAATGTAAGTACCTTGATAATAAATCCACAGAAGCACATTAGGATTGAAGTAATCATTTCTGACACGGGGTCATCAGAAACTGTGACTCTACAGTGACTGGGAAACTGAAACAGTAAATATCCCCGAATGTCTTTCATCGTTTCTTCATTTCACCCGGACTAATGGTTCATAAAAACTGGCCACTGGAAAGCGCATAAAACTGCTAACAGGAACATTTAGCAAAAGTATATTTTCATACAATGCAGTAATGCCTATATAAATAATTGTTATGTTCTCTTTACTCGTGACGTTGTTTATTGTATTTACGTTAAACAAAGGCACATTTTTAACATATTGTGGACAAGAGATTATTAGCAACACGCGGTTTTAATCAAACCACAAGGTCACCTAGTTCCATAATCACTTCGTTTAAAGTACATTAACCTGATGTAGGAGTTGGTACATTTCCTTGATTGGTTCGAATATAGTAGCCTAACTGCTTAGCAGCTACGGTAATTTAAAGCTATAATCTGCAGCATTTCCTTATTAAACGTCTATAAACTCTAGCTCTATGTTCTATATGTAAGTTGCAGTTCTTCATTATCCCAAATGTTCAACAAATGTTCAAACTCAGAGAAAATCTGTCATTTTATCAGGGTAACACTGCTGTTTCACGGCCCGTCTGTCGTGGCGTCATATCCCTTTGTGCTGCGTCAGCGTTGGTGGTTGTTGCAGAGCTGTCATTACATTGACTGTTTATCCAGTCTGAAGCCACATTTTTAAACATACACTGTTTTAGTATCTTGGTTGCTTTTTTTAACTCTAGATTTTGACCGTGATTGAAAGGTATTTTAAGTCATCGTGACGTTCTGGATCTTAAGTTATAGTAGAAACAAGTGAAGGTAAGTTAGCTAGCAGCTCAGGTTCTCATGCGGCCTTCCGTACAGTTTTTTTTTTTTTTCTTGCAAAATATATCGTTTTTAGAGTGTTCAGTCTTCTGTTTATAATTGTT